CTATTACATGCGAAACCTCATTATATCATCACGGTACGGAGGTGCATTTTTCCGCCACATTTTTTGTGTACTTCGGAAATATTCACTTATTCGCTGCACAATATATATATATTTGTCAATATCTGTTGCAATTATGTCTAGATCTTAGTGACCTTCCTGATATTGCTGACAATCCGTGAACATTCGCAATGAAATCTCTGGTGTAATATAATAATTTAATGTGGTGGAGGTTTGCCACGTCATTGTGCATAAGCCCAAATTTAGTCGTTTCTGAACGTTATATCATGTCCATCTTCTCCCCTTGGAACAATACGTAGGACATGTAAAATAACGTATTTCTCACCAAACTCCTGATACATAATCAGAACATGTCATCAGGATGGCCTCTTGTGGCCAGGAGCTAATCGCACTGGGGTAATGTGGTGGAGAATTCCAGATGCATGGGTCAAAACGAGTATATAGAAATGCGAACACCATTAAATTCCTAATGAAAGCTCCCGAAAAAAGTAGCAACTATAATTTAGCAGGAAACCTTTAAAGGAATGCACCTGGGACAAACCCCATCTCACCTAAAGAGCCTTGAATGGGTTCTATACTTACATGGCAATCGGTAAATGCTGTATACCTTACCCTGACGGTTCCTATCCACCAATTCTTTTTATGTCTCTGTACGAGGCCCCCAAGATTCTTCCTCTACCAAGCAGTTAGCTAGGGCTTCTTGAAATAACCAACCATAGATACTACTGAGTTACGGGAATGTTACATGACGATAGCTCCTTTTACCAGCATTGCTGTCCAGAAGCAGCAATCCGAAATGCTATGGTATCCAATTCCTAATGCCTTTTATTTTTAAGTTTTTCCCCCCTATCAGAACATACTAATCTCTGGAACCAACCCTGTGGGTATTTGGTCTATCTAACTTACAATGCAAATTTCTACCTCCTATATTCTCTAACTGCTCGAGAGAGTAGACACCAATAAATCCGCACAGACGGCCTCCACCCCACCTTTTTTATAAATCTTAGTAATTAGATATGATATTATATAAGATATGTAATATATATTATAGATACATTATATAAGACATGAAGATAAATCATAATAAAATATAAATATTATTAATATACAGTCATATAAAAGCAGAATATTTAGACATATATAGGAAAAATAGAGGATAGTAAATATAAAGTGCACTACTGGAAAATTGCTACTTCCAAAAATCTTCCACTCCTATCTCCTCAGAGCTCCGCGCGCTCTCCCTGCCTGATGTTAAGATCCTCCTCCCTCCCATCCCTCTCATCATCTCCATCAGAGACAACTGTAACCCTCTCTCCCTGCAACTTGATACCCTTCAAAAACAAGACCCCACCAACAACTGCTTCACCCAATAGTAAAGACTCTAGAACTTCTCCGAACATCGACAACCAGTGGCTGTCCTCTCCATCTTGGGCCTACCGTTTCAGGCAAGTCTTACTTCATCTCTCGCGTGCTGGGCAGTCCTGGATCCTTCCAACTGGGCCACAGCATGAAGGCCTGCACTAGAGGTATCTGGATGGCCACCACTGTCTTGGAGTGTCAAGAATTTGCCATTGTCTTCCTGGATACCGAGGGTTTTGATGCCGTGGGAGCCTCCGAGACCATGGCAATGAGCTTGCTCACTCTCACCACACTACTTAGCTCGTTCCTCATCTACAACTCCAAGAAGGTGCCTACGAAGGTTGACCTCGACAAGATTAGGTGTTTCTCCCAACTCTCCACCTCTCTCCTCACCGAGTGTGGTGAGTTAATGTCGATGGATGTGAGGAAAGCATTCTTTCCTCATTTTCTGTGGCTCCTGCGGGACGTGAGTCTCAAGATGACTGACAGGGAAGGTAAGGAGCTGGCGCCGACTGAGTTTCTTCACACCCGGGTCCTTGCATCTGAATCAGGAGAGCTTACAGACTTGGGCAAGTCTCTAGTCGGTCTTTTCCCCTCCTCTCTGGAGTGTGCCACTATCCCTCTGCCGTCGATTAATCCAAGAGTCCTTCGAGACCTTTTCAATCATCAAGAGAAATTGAGTGGAAGGTTCAATGATAAAATCAATATTGTAACCCAGCAAATCCTCCAGAAATTAGCTCCAAAGAAGGCTGTAGATGGACTACTATAGTGAATGGGAAGGCTCTGGCTGCTCTAACGGGATGCTATATGGAGGCAGTCAACAAGCCAGGAGCTCTACCAGACCTGGACCAGGTCTGGCAGACTGTGGTGAGGCTGAAGCTGGAGGAAGTCTCCTACAAGCTGGTGAGGGAGTACGAGAGGGAAATGGAGGAGGCTTTTGAAGGAAACCTGCCAATGGAAGAACCTGCGAATCCACCGAATGATACTAAAAGAAAAAGAAGGATGTTCTCAGAGAGAAAATCTGCCGTGTTAACCCTCTTAATTCCAGTGATGAAGAAGTGCAGCCAATCCTTGACCAGCTTGAAAAGGATGTCGTGGCATGGAGTGAGCCAAGCAACGATGGAGAGAGAAACGTAACTGGAGGTAGTCTGTATCAGTTTGTCACACAAAATGCCTCCGCCTCAAAAGTACATTGTGAAAAGTTTTTCAACGAGCTAATAAGAATAAGCCAAATTCAAGAGCAAGTAGAAAAAGCCTTAAATGACTCAGAGCCCTTATCTTTAGCGAGTGAAGTAAATGCAATATCTGCCGAATACAATGCAAAAGCTGTAGGACCGGCTGCCAGCGAAGTTCTGGAGAGAGGCATGTCCGAACTGAATCAACTATCAGACATACTCAAGAAGATTCCTGGCAAGCCACAGAATTTGAAAGTGAACAAGGAAGGGAGAGATCAAGTGAAACTGAGCTGGGATCCTCCGGCACACAATCCAGAGGCAGTGGAAGAGTATGTGGTCTACAGGAAAGCTGCAGGTGGAGAATGGGAAGAGGTTGTGAGGACTGAGACAACGAGAGCTTTAGTGAAGGAATTAAAATCTCAAACCAAATATGGAAGTAGAGTGTTTTATAAACGTTATCCTCGTGAATCAGTAAGTCTGGAATCTGAGATGTACTATGAGTTTCAAGTGGTGGCAAACAGTAGCATACTAACAGGTCTTGCAGCTGACACATATTATTCAACTCCCCGCTCAACTGCAGCAACATCTGTCTATAAAATCATTGTTGGAGCTCTTGTTGATGCCAGTAGAATTTTACCGTATGTGTTACGAAAGGCAATACTGCTGAAACCCAGTAGGTAAGTTCACCTGTATAATCTTTAATAAGTGGATATTCTACTCAGGAGCTCTAATGCAATCACAGTTACTGGCGTTCCAGTTCTCAAGAAGCAGTCATTTCAGTACACGGGGAAACAGCTGGATTTCATCTGGAAAGATGCCGGCATATAAGTCTCCACTTCCCATCTGCACCTTGTTTTAAAGACATCAAACTGTCAGTGGTCGTGGTAGGAGACATTGAAGAGCACACCATCTTACCAGAAAAATATCGCTCAATGCCTGTAGCTAGTGTGACCTACGCGATTACAGCCAGTGCTCCATTTCCTGCTCCAGTAAGAGTAAAAATGGAGCATTGTGCCGTTGTGAATAAAGAAGATTCACTTGTTTTGATGGTTGCTCATAAAGGGCCTCCTTACCGCTTTTTGCCACTGCTTGATGCATCATGTCGACTTCAATCATTGCATGGTCAAATAGATCTTAAAAGTTTCACCCTCTTTCGCTTCCTTTGGAATATGCTTTGATATCGTCCAATGCGCCTTTTGATCCAGGTTTTCTACCATGGCGACAGTACAGCAACATTCGTGGTGACAAAAAATCTCAGTGCACACATTACGGCTGTGAGAGAGGAAATTATGCACACTCATGTAGAGGACGTGCCAATGTTGTGTGAGTCTACAATTGATGCCATAACTCTTTCTGTACCAATAGACTCTAGTGGGTGGCATGTCATGCCTAACTTTAGTCCAGCAGAAATCAAACTTCTTGATATCAATGGATACGAACCAGGACAAATTTGCCCAAAAATCAAACTCTGCATGGAATGGAGGGGCATCGGGAGCCCAAAACAAGAGAGAATCAGTATTCCAATAAGTGGAGGATCCATCACATCACTAGCTCTACTTTGTGAACCAAACTGCCAAAAACAAACTGTTCAGAACCAGCCACCACTACCGGAAGCATGTGAAGCAATTCTTTTGCTTCACGAGAAACCAACTCTGCCACTTCTCCACCGATTAAACACTCCATCAGGAACGGTGATAAACACAATTGAGAGAATTGGAACAAGAAGTCACGACTTGAGCATATGCCTACTCATAGACAAGAATGGTTCAATTACTAGTAATATCGAGGCCCAGTACAAGGAAGACCATAAAAGAATAACAGAAGCTGTTCTTCAGAGATGGTTGGAGGGAACTGGGAGGACACCATACTCCTGGGCCACTCTCATTACTGTACTGAGAGAGATAGTATAGAGCTTACTGTATTGGCAAAAGAGATTGAAGATAACTTATACTGTACCTAGCATTACTTTTTGTATATACACACAAACTGAATGCCCTATCTTGTGCCACGAGCAAAGGTTATAAAGCGGAATGTAATTATATAGTTCTTATTGCTTTCGTACTTGGTGGATACTTTTCAGTAATACGTAAGTGGTTAAAGTTTATCTACACCAAAATCAAGGCACACAGCAGGTACGAACATGTTTTTTTCAGTATATAAGCTGTAAATGCAGCCACCCATCAATCAATTGGGGACACGTCGAAATTGTAATCATATCTGAACTTGCACTCACTGATGATGTCTTAAGTATGCTTACACTAACCAGTTGCTGATGAAATTAAAAACTTTGCAAAAAGATTGTCTAGCTCTGCTCTGTTTGCTGCTATATACATTAGCACCGAAATATAAATCAGCGAGGGTTATGTACTGTCAAGTGCCATTCATTTATGTGGCCCAGTATGCTATCCAACCAAATGCCCCAGCCATAGCAGAGTTGGTTCCTCCAGTTGTTAACTACAAACAAAACACACGCGGGGCAGTTGTATAATTGCTGCCACTACAGTGATCTACTGCTGATGTGAAGAAGGTCGCTATGTCCCTACTAAGCAACA